CCCCCCCCTTAGAAAAAGCCGCACTCATAACAGGAAATTAGCAAACATCCTCTGGTTTGAACCCCACCCCATCCCGTCACACCTAAGTCAACACACCTTTCCTTGCCACCTCACTGTGAAGCGGATTAGCGCTCACTGGAAGGAACGTGAAGCGATGGAGGGCTGTGTCAGTCCCACAACACGCTTTGTTATGTCATTGTGAGAACCCCCACCCCCTCCCGACCCTCACCCCTCAAGCTTGAAAAAAAAAATCCCACCCCCACCACCAAACCACCTAGTGTACATTAGCACACACGCACGCACAATGCACACACCCATGCACACACGCACGCACATACGAACGAACATACGCATGCACGTGCGCACTATCTATCTATCTCTGTTTATCTATCTATCTATCTCTGTCTATCTATCTATCTGTCTATCTATCTATCTATCTATCTATCTATCTATCTATCTATCTATCTATCTATCTATCAGACATTAAAACGGGTGGCTCTGGTGGCCTAGAGGTTAAGGTGTTCGCCTCTCATTCAAAGGTACCGGTTTCGAATCCCGGTAGGGACGGAAAAAGGTTCTTCTCTAAAATTATAGTCTCCTTTCCCCTCCTTTCTTGCTCTCTAGCAATGTTCTGTCGTCTGCTTTCGTCTCCTCTTTCTGCCCCCACCCATTCACCTCCTTTGCCCCCTCCTCTGGGCCCCTGACTTTTTCTGCAGCCATTCTACTGCTACTCCTTGGCTTCTTCATACTGTTGTCTTTCAACCATATCCCAGATCTTCTGATAGGAAATATCTACACCTAGCCTTCTCCGACAAAGGTGAAAAATCTCGGAGGTATCGTGTGCAAGTTGCGCACGTTAAAGATCCCTTGGTGGTCCAAAATCGACAAGAATAGGCTTTGGCCGCCACCTGGGCAAAATTCAAAATGTCCTACCAACTGAAAATGTTAAATGTGTCCCGCGCGCTCAAATGACCTTATGCACTAGCAAGCAAGTAGTAAACTTGGCGGAATCTGGAAATCTTTTCGTTATGCGCGAATTTTGTTATGTAAGTGTTTTAGATACAAAGAATAATATATCATATCATTTAAAAAATTCGTGACTTGAAAATCTGTTCGCTGCCCGCATGTTTCACTATTATATACTACTACTACTACTACTACTACTACTACTACTACTACTACTACTACTACTACTACTAATAATAATA